GCAGCGCCCGGCAGGCGAGGCAGATGCCGGGCGGGGAGGCGGGCGCGAGGCGGGGCGGGCAGGAGTGTCGCGAGACCGGGCAGAGCCGGCCCTCCCCGCCGGAGGGGCCGCTCGCTCTTAAAGGGGCGCCGCGCTCCGGCCCAGCAACAGCCCCGCCAGGTAGGACGGCCGCCCCGCGGGCTCTGCGGCAGCAGCAGCAGCAGCAACAGCAGCAGCAACGGGGGTGCAAATCCCCCCCTGCAAAAGGGCCCCCCTGCAACAGGGGTGCAAATACCCCTCCCCGCTCGTGCCCCGCCCTCGCACCCCTCCCCCGGCCGGACCCCCCCTCACCCTCTCCCGGGGGCGCCGCTGCTCACCTCCCCCCCCCCCGCTGCCCTTTGTTCGCGGCCGCCGCGCTCTCCACGCGGTCGGGGCGCCCCCTGCCGGCCACCGCTGGGTGTCGGCGCGCTCAGGGCTGGAGCGGATCGCCCCTCCCGCCTCGGCTCCCAGGGTGCCCCGCGGCGCCCGCGCAGAGCATTCTGGGAGCCGTAGTCCCCCTGGGCTCCCGTCGGGGGGGGGCGGCGGCTGTGGGTCCCCCAAGTCCGCCAGCCCCGTTCCTCTCGGCCTGGGCCCGCCGGGCGTTCCCAGTGAGGCTCCTCCGGGGCTCCGAGCCGCCTGAAGGGCCTCCCCGTCCAGGCCTCCCGCGGAAAGCGGGCTGAGCCCCCCCCCCCGGAGCCGGCGAGGCCTGCTCTTCCCCCGGCCCGTCCCCCGCGGGGCGGAAGATGGACGGGGGGCCCGGAGCGGAGGAAGGCGGCGGGGCCACGCTGGGGCCCTTCGTGACGTAGGTGCCCCCAGCCGCTGGGCAGAGGAGCCCGGGGCCCCTCGGGGGCCGGGCCAGGGAGCCAAGTGGGGCCCACAAGGAAGCCCCCCCGGGGGCCCTGCTGGCCACGCAGAAGCCCCCTTCCCAGAAGGGTTGTGGGGGAAGGGGCGATCCCTGCGCAGCCCCCCCTCGGCAGGAGCGGAGGAGGCCCGACTGCTGAACCTCTGGGGGTCCCGGAGGGGCTTTCACGAAAAAGCAGCTGGGCTTCCTTGAAGACGTTTCGCCTCCCCTCCAGAACTGAAGACGCTTCTTGCGTGAGAAGTGAAACGTTTTCAGAGAAAAAAAGCAAAAAATTCCACTTCGGGTGAGGGAGGGTCTCCAGAGGCGGTTATTGGGCCCAGCCGTGAAGTGGGGCGTCTGTGGAGACCGTCCACCGTCCGGGGCCCAAGGGGGCTTTTTCCAAAGGGCAACTGGGCTTTCTTGTTTTTTTCCTTGAAGACCTTTCGCTTCCCATCCAAGAAGCTTCCTCCGTTCGGAACGACTGGTGGGGAACGGAAGGATTTATATTCCTTGCGGTCATCTGGTCCTTGGCCCTCTCGCCACTTGGGGGTTTATCTGGGCCACCTGAATCAGGGTGCAAAGTCTGGTTGCCGTTTGAAAAAGCCCTTTTGGGACCCCCGTGAGACCCCCTGGATGACGGAGCACCTCAGAGACATTAAGGGCTTTGCCTGCGAATCTCAGCCTACACCGTATAGTTCAGATAATCCTTAACTTACAACCATTTGTTTAGTGAGCGTTCAAAGTTACAACAGCTCTGACAAAGGGGATTTATGACCAGTCTTCACACTTATGACCATCGTGGTACGTGATCAAAATCTGGACATTTGGCAACTGGCATGTACTTACGACAGTTGCAGTGTCCAAGGATCACTTTTTGTGACCTGACAAGCAAAGTCACTTAACTGTGTTCCTGCAGTGATTCACTTAACAACTATGGCAAGAATGGTCATAAAATGGAGCAAATTTCACTTAACTGTCTTGTTTAGGAATGGAAATTTCGGGCTAATTTGTGGTTGTCAGTCTGAGGCTGCTTTATTGAACTGGGAGACGGGTCAGCCCTGGGGCCGCCTGAGTGACCGGCAGGCGGCAGGGGGAGCTGATCCGAGTGGCCCAGATCTTAGCCATAGTCTGCAAAAGTTCCCTTCCTTTTCTCTGGCAGATCAGGAGCTGCCTCTTCTTGCTTCGGATTCAAGCTGCCTTTGCAGAATTCTTTTAGGTCTTGTGATATATTTATTGCGTTTGATTTCAGTCTGTGCGGCACTGCCGCACTCCGAAGCAGAGGCAAAGGGCTGTGAATGTTAGTGGAAGTGTGAACTCACGTGGAACACGGGTTATATAAACTCCTCCAGGAGCTTCTGCTCGTGACGGAGACGGTGAATTCAACAATATTTTCTGCCTCGGGAGGCACCACGTGGTGTGTTGCTGACTGCATGGCTGTCTAATTCTTTTCCATATCTTTGAAGCTCTGAAATGATTACAGAGGAACTGAATTAAACCATGCTAATAAATATTAATAAGTTAACGCCAAAGAACTCGGGGAACAGAAGATGATAAGTGGGTGGTGAAAATTGAATCCATTTTTTAAGCCATAAATACATTGCAAAGTTTTCCCAAATGGCCTGAAATCTGTTGTAATATTTCCATTTACTTAGTTGTGGGCTTTAACAACTCAGAGCTATGCAGGTAGTCCTTGTTTATCAACTGCCTCATACAGCAACTGTTCATCACCATGGTGAGAAACTAATGTGTACAACCTTCACAAGTCTGTAAAGCGACAGAAAGCTGAAGGAAGGTCATAAGCACAGTTGCGGCTCCACTTAGCAACCACTTCACTTAATGACCAAGTTGCGGGTCCCTATTGTGGTTGCTAAATGAGGACCACCTGTAAATCAGTTGTATAAAAACAAGGATAAGTATTCATGGATCTGTTAGATTAGTTGTGCCTGAAAGGTAAATAAATAATGCAATATGGAGCCAAACTGTTATCTCAGTGGAGGTCTTAAGTTCTTGCCAGATCTATAAGCCCAGTTATTCTGTCAATCTTCCTTTTTTTATTGAAAAGTTTTATAAAATTACAATATAAACCCCAAAAACCCTACCCACCCTAATCCCCCCTCTCCCTCCCCCACTTCCTAGAGCTAAATACAGGGTTACAAATATAATAATCATAATCTAACTAACATTAACCAACTATATAAATAACCAAGTCCATAATGCGCTTTAACTCCCCTTTAACATAAATATAATAATAATAATTAAAACATAAACAAATTAGTATCCTAATTATTAAACAATAGAATATCCATATTGTTAAACAATACTAATACTAAAAGTAATAATATCATATAATTAAAACTAACAAAAATTTCACTATAATAAACTATTAATACTAATAATACTCTAAAATTTACTCCTAGGCTAAATGGAACTTTTTAGTCCCATATTTGTTCTGAATATAATCTATCCATCTTCTCCAAACCGAAATGTATCTTTCTTGTGAGTGATCCTTCAAATAGGCAGAAATCTTAGCCATTTCTGCTAAATTTGACACTTTAAGCGTCCCTGTCAATCTTCCTTTTGAGCTATGATTGTCACCAAATATCAACCTCAAGGCAGATGCCACTCCGTGGCCTTAAGTTTGGGGCTCCCATTTCTGGATAGCAGAACTGCAGGCTGCTCCTAGATGGCAGCAGAGAGGAGAGGTTTTTTGGGTCTCTCTCTGCTGCCACCTGGTGCTCAATTTCTGTGTGGCCTCGCACGCATTTGCCCACAGATAAATCCCACTCCATACATTGGACTTTTGCACCGTTTGGCCCTTGGACCAGGAAGGAATCCTTCATCTCCGCTTTATTACACGGCGGTTAGTCCTTCCTGTCTGACCCAAGAGAAACTCTTAGGAGTCCTAACTGATAAAACTGAATTTCTGCTTTTGGTTGAACATTCAACCTTTCAAACGACTGCATTCCTTAGGCTCACTGTACCATATTTTGTGGAGCTTCCGATAAACTCTTTCAATCTTTCTTCAGTATTATTTTACTGTTTTATATATATTAATAAAAGATGAGCTTTTCTTCGGAGCAAATTCGCTCTGCTCCGGTTCCTTTGACATTGATGATATGCCCCAAATTTTGAGACGGCTTCATCCGTCACCGCAGGAGGGACTATTACTCCTTTCCTTCTTAGACCGAGCTTTTATTTCTGTAGTAAAACAACGGACTTCCAGGAAATGCTAGTTTTATTACGCCTTTGATTCCTCTCCTGGAATTGTCTCAAAAGGAAGCAGAAGCGGCATTAGGGGAAATGACAGGATTGCCATGTCATTCAGATGAACGCTGCAGCTGGATCCAGGGATGTAAGTCAGGGGTCTTGAAACTTGGCCCTTTGATGACTTGTGGACTTCAACTCCCAGAATTCCTCAGCCAGGCACGCGTGCCTGGCTGAGGAATTCTGGGAGTTGAAGTCCACAAGTCATCAAAGGGCCAAGTTTCAAGACCCCTGATATAAATGTTCCATGTATTGATTCCACCACTGTCAGATGCTCCCTCTTCGGTTTCCACATCTGAGCAATGTGAGATGTTTTAACAGCACACCGGACTCTGTCCGTGCACAAGAAAGCCATTTTCTTGCAAAAATAACGGGCTAAAAGCTAATGGGTTTGCATCATCTTGTTTTCAAGGCAGTCCAAGATGGTCAGCAGACGCCAGCCCGAAGTCAACTCCTCCAGCGATGCCCGTTGCATGCCGGACTTTTGGGACAGGCTTGTTCAGCAGCCCAGGTGAGTTTCGTGATCCTAGCGGATAATATCGCGGGACAAAACACCTTTCCAGGGAGCTTTCATTTTCTCTCCCTGATACAGGTAGCCCTCAACTCATAACCTCTCATTTAGTGACAGTTCAAAGTTACAACGGCACTAAAAAAAAGTGACGTGACCATTTTTCACACAACCGTTGCAGCATCTCCATAGTTCTGTGATCAAAATTCAGACACCTGGCAACTGACTCACGACAGTCACAGTGTCTCCCTGGGGTCACGTGATCCCCTTTTGCGACCTACTGACAACCACAATCAATGGGGGAGTCGGGTTCATTTAACAGCTGGGTGACCAACTTAACAATTGCAGTGATTTACATAAGAACGGTGGCAAAAAAGACCGTGAAATGGGGCAAAACTCACTTCACAGCTGTCATGTTTTTGCTCCCTCGTTCACTTCCGGAAGATTTATTTGCCGACGAGACTAAGCAGAAAAGAGTCATCGTCCCACTCTTTGTAAGTACTAAATCAGAATTTTCAAAGCTTCGTTTTACATTGACTCGTCATTATAGCCGATTATTCCAAATTTAAAGATTTGCATCCGGCCTAGCTGACTGAGTTCCTACAGCGGATTCTTTCTCCTAAGTTTAATATGTAAGGGATTCTGAAGTAAAAGCCAGTTGTACTTACTGACACCTTTATCTTTCAGTTACCTCTGGATGGAAGAGTACCACGAGGCCCCACCCCTGCTGGTAGGTTTTAATGGCCCCGGAGGAGGCCTCCTTTTAAATTACAGGTTTTTCTCCTGCTTCTTCCCTATGAAAAGTAGAGGCCGCAAGCAGAGTTTGTCCGTCAATTAAGCCGGGGTTTGTGGGTGCCTTGGTGGACCCTGATGCTTTATAAGGGGCCCCGCTGAGCGAGCACAAGGGAGGTCGCGATTTACCTGGAAAATCTCCGACACGCAAGGATTCAGCCTGCGAAGGAACCCCTGCCTTGCCGAGCCAGGTTTCGGGGTCCCCCTGGGAGAACCAGCCTCCTTTGGCAGAGGGTCCGAGCGAGCAGCAGACTCTGTCCTCGGGGTGGTCCAGAGGATGCTGTGGCCGAAGGTCCTCCGCCCTCTCCTGTCCACACCTGAGGTGGGCACCTTTGTCTGCATCCTCAGAGGCACCGATGACGGTTATTCCCAGGGAATAACTTCCGTACGGTGGGATATCTCTGCCACCTTTTGGGGCACCCGCCAGGTGTAGTGTTGGGGTGCCCTGGTCTTTGGGGGGAAGTGTCGGAGGCAGGACCCCAATCCTCACCTGATCCCATGAGCTGAGACGACACAGGCCCTCTGGGCAGGGCTGAGCGGCAGGGAGCAAGGCCGAGCCCCCCCCAAAAAAAGCTCGGGGGGGAAGTGACAGGAGCAGCCTTCTGCTGCCAGGGGGCCAAGCCCACCACTCTGACCTGGGAGGACAAAGACCCCCAGTGCTATATGATTCATTTAACAAAGTCGAATGGGGGCCTTGGGCTGAGCATTCGGGGTCCCCGTCTTTGCCCTCAAAACCAGAATTTGAAAGGCAGGGTCAAGTTTTGGCTGGATCAGTAGCCTCCCCGGTATCCATCCTAAAAAGGCAATTCCGATTATCCACCCAAATGGGGGCCCGTCGTTCGATGGCTTCGCTCTTCTTACTCAAATGCCGCCTTGGAAATATGGAGAAGCCATCCTGGCGACAGACAGAGATTGATTGACAGCGAGCTGCCGAAGTCTCCTTCTGGGGGAGAGGAAGGGAGGAGGGGGCCCACCTGAGCTCCAGCAGATGCCACCGTCTCCTGAAGGAGAATTGCTGCCCGGGACACGTAAAGGAAAGGGGGTGAATCAGGCTGCTAAAATTCACATCTCGTGCTAAGCTGGGAAATATCCTGCTTCCGTCCTCCACGCTTCGCTTTCCTGAATTAATTATCTTCTGAAGGGGAGCAGAGCCCGCGTCTTCAGGGCTGAGCATCGTGCCACGCTTGGCTCACCCGCAGTGCCAATCATGGACGCCCTTGGCCTCGCTGGGCGGGAGTGGGGGTCAAGGGGGCTGCTGACCCAAACAGAAACCTTCCCACCGACACCCTCCCTGGCCCCAGCCCAGCCACGGTGCTTGGCCCACAGCCGTGGCGGCATGTGGGATGGTGGGGGGCTCCCCAAAGCTCCCCTCAATCCAGTCGGGCACAAACCACAGAAGCCGAGTTTGGTTTAGCACCATGGGCCTCGCAGAGAAAAACACGGCGGCCCCAAGATCTGAAGAGCCACGTTGGGGGGGGGGGGCTGGGGAGGTTGTGAAATGGTTGGGCAAAGGGGTCTCACCAGCCCTGCAGATTCCCAGGTCAGTGAGTATTAAACCAAGATGAATCTTAGGTATGTGTCTGTGTGTGGGGGGGAAATCTGGGGTCTAGGCATATTGGTCAGCCCCCTCTTTGTGGGCCTTAGTATTCTGTAATGTTTCCAAGGAGGTGATCTTTGGCATATTTCTTTTTCAGATGAAGCAATTTGTATACAAAAGGCATCGCCCGGTCTTTTTTCCTTAACGTCCTTCCCTAAATAGCAGTCAGTAATGGTTTAACTCAGGGGTAGTCAACCTTGGCTCTTTTATGACTCGTGGACCTCAATTCCCAGAATTCCTGAGCCAGCTTAGTCATAAAAGAGCCAAGGTTGACTACCCCTGGTTTAACTTAATACATATGGAGAGTACAGAAGAAGAAAAAAAATCTCTTTACTTTTCAGGGAGAGAGATTGTGTAGGTGATGTTGGGAAAGGAGTATTTTCTCTTCCCCTTTTTCTTTCATGGATCTAGAAGATAATTCCTCTTTTAACTTGATCCAAGTTTCCCCTAATGTAGAATTACTTCTGATACTTTATTTATTGCTCTGCCTGGGGATCAGAGGTGTGTGGTTAAGCTCCCAGGCGGCTGGTAAATTGGCACGGAACTCTTGCTGGTTACACAATTAAGCAAAGTACCGCTGTGAAACCTTCCAATCTTCGGATTATAATAATAATAATAATAATAAAGTTGGATGGGACCTTGGAGGTCATCTAGTCCAACCCCCTGCTCAGGCAGGAAACCCTATACCAGGGGTAGGCAACCTTGGCTCTTTTATGACTCGTGGACTTCAACTCCCAGAATTCCTCAGCCAGCCATGCTGAGGGGAAAGGGAGAGGCTTCCAAGCTGAGCCGTGCTGGCTCAGGAATTCTGGGAGTTGAAGTCCACCAGTCATCAAAGAGCCAAGGTGGCCTACCCCTGCCCTAGACCATTTCAGACAAATGGCTGTCCAGTCTCTTCTTAAAAACTTCCAGTGTTGGAGCATTCACTGCTTCCGGTGGCGGGTGGTTCCACTGGATTGATAAGCAGAGGCTCCCTTCTTCCTTGATTAAACTTGAAATTGTTTCTGATTCGCTGAAGCCTGCCGTCCTTCTACGGAGAATTCGCGCAGGGCCAAAATGAGGCCGGTTGCTGAGTCCCTCTTGGCTTCTCCGCTCTCCAGACGTCCGGCTGTGCAGCCCAGCGGCCTGCGGGAGACGAGGGGGGCCCTTGGCCCTGGGAGGTGGCCCCTACCACGCAGAGCCTCCCCTCCCCCAAGGAGCTGTGTCAGAAGAAGAGGAAGGGTCCCAAGCAAAAAGGCCGGGGACACGTCCGGGGCTTGTCCGTCTTGTATCATCTGGAGGAGGTGAAGAAGCGACAAAGCAGCATCGACAAGTAGGAGCACCCACCTTTTGTAGAGACGGAGGAGCGTCGGGTGGGTGGGTGGGTGGGCAGGCGTTTTGTGGCCCCGGGGCCAAAGTTCGGGGTCCGGTTCATGGACGAGGAAGTCTTCCAACCGCAGGATCAGCCCCATCGCCGGTTTGTTTCCATCTGGCAGCCCTGAAGGGCCCAGACTCGCAACCCCCCCCTCCGATCCAGTTCCCTTCAAACTCTGCCCAGGGTCAGCTCCCCCCCCCCCCTTGGCACATTTGACATGCATATAATACAGGTAGTCCTCAACTTATGACCACAATGGAGCCCAAAATTTAGGCTGCTAAGTGAGACATTTGTTAGGTGAATTTTGCCCCATTTTACCGCCTTTCTTGCCACAGCCGTTAAGCAAATCGCTGCCGTCGTTAAGTGAGTAACACGGTTTTTAAGCGAATCCGGCTTCCCCACTGACTTTGCTTTTCAGAAAGTCGCAAAAGGGGATCACGTGACCCCCTGGGACGCTGCGACCGTCATAAATACGAGCCGGTTGCCAAGATTTCAGATTTTGAACCGGCGTCCTTGCTGCGAAGGTCGTAACGGTGAAAAACGGTCATCAGTCGCTCTTTTTTTTTAGTGCCGCTGTAACTTTGAATGGCCACTAAACGAGGGCTACCTGTGCCAGGTGAGGCAAGGCACCAGGGGATCTCCAGCCCCTCTCTGCTGCCCCCTCTTGGTGGCCGGGATTCCTGCCACTGGGAGCTCCAGTCCGGGCCTTGTAAAAGTACAAAAGTCCTCGACTTACAACCGTAATGGAGCCTGCCTATTATGGTCATAGGTTGTGGTGGTCCTAAAGTGGGGCATCCTGTGACCGGACCTGATTTTACTGATCTCTTCCAGCCCTTCTGATCTCCCCCTATTTGTTTCAAAGGCAGAAGGCGCAGGAGAGGGGGGATCTGCCCCAGCCCTCCCCCCGAGGAAATGGGACGGCCGGGGACCCTCCCGCGCCCCTGTTGACCCCCGCCAGGACGCCAGAGCCCTACGCGAGGCCCTTCCTGGGCAGAGGCACCAGCGCCCAGGTGAGCAGTCGGCGGGGGGGGGGCGGCAGTCGCCACATTGAGATGCAATCCAGGTGGGAGGCCGCTGTTGCCTAGCAACGTCGTCTGCAGAGAGAGATCCGGGTGGCTGGGCAGGTGGGCGAGATGGGTCCCTCTCAAATGAGGTCCCTCAGACTTGCCTTTGTGGGCTTCAACCCCCAGAATCCCCCAGCTAGCAGAGCAAAGAATTCTGGGTACTGAAGTCCAGGCACCTGGAGGGCCACAAGGTGGAGAAATAAACTGAAAGGGTCCCTTGGCCCCCTCCAGCCTTTCCACGAGACCCCCGTCCCAATTCCAGAGGAAGAGGCGCTCAGTTTTGGGACGACCCCCCACCACCCCCACTGACGCCCGCCTTGCCTTGCAGCTCTTCCTCCACCCGCAGTGGAACCCCAACCTGAGCGAGGCCCTGAGGGTCCCGGAGGGAAGCCCCCTGCCCTTCTTCGCCCTGGCGGCCCACCACCGCTCTCCCCGCGGAGGAGGAGGAGGAGGAGGAGCTGAGCAGCGGTCCGAGGAATAACTGCAGCCAAGCGGACGTTGGGGGTCAGCCTTGCCCCGTCCGGCTCCCTCCAGGGATGGGAGAAAGTTGTGTTGGCCAGGAGTGTGTGTGTGGCGGTGTGTGCCAACAGGGGTTCAGCATCTCCCTACGTATCTCCTCAAACCAGGGCCTTCCCGTCTCTCCTGCACCCCTGCTTGGCCTTCCCATTTGGGGGGGGGACTTTTATTTCCCTTTTGCAGTCTTGCCAATGCCCCCCCCCTGGACTGGCACGCCAGAGCGCGCCCCTTTCTCCCTCTTTGCGCTCTCAACAAGCCTCCCAGCGTAGGCCGAGGGAAGGAAGAGAATGCCAGAGGAAAGTGAGGGCGGTTTCCATAGTAATCCTGGCTCCGGGCTTCTCTCTCCCTTGGCTCTCCTCCTCCACCTGCGTGTAACGTAGGAGTAAGCTCCTCCGAGGAGCTCAGCCAGGCGTTTGGAAGAAAGAAGCGCCCTTGCCAGCCTCCTCGTGATCTGGCGGGGCTGAGGACTGGCAGAGTTCCTCTCCTGACGCCCCCCAAACCTCTTTTTCCGCTGCAAGTAGGTGGCTGTCCGTCTTCCCCCCTTCCCCAGGCCTTTTGCTCGCCCAGCTGACGTGTCTCCCCCTCCCCTTTTCTCTCTCTCTCTCCCTCTTCCACGCCCTTAAAGCAAATTGTAAAAAGCAGCGTAATATTTCCTGCCAAAGGGGGAGAGGCAGACGTGGTGAGGACTCAAGTTTTCAGAAAGTTAATAGGGAGGTTTCCCCTTGTAGATTGAGGATAAATTGTTGCCTGTTTACCGATAAATTAGTTCTTGGAGTCTGATAAAGGATTTCCTTTATGCCTCTCCCCCCCCAAAGCCAACCTCACCCCTCCAGAGGAGAAGAGGGGAGGGGTGCAGGGGGTGCCAGGCTTCATGGCCTAGTGCAGGGGTAGGCAACCTTGGCTCTTTTATGACTCGTGGACTTCAACTCCCAGAATTCCTGAGCCAGCTGTGCTGGCTCAGGAATTCTGGGAGTTGAAGTCCACGAGTCATAAAAGAGCCAAGGTTGCCTACCCCTGCACTAGTCAGTCTGACCATCAGGAATGGACTCTGTCCTTGTTCTTGAGGCTGGAGGCCTCGGCCAAGTTGGCTTTTCCAAGGTGAATTTTTGGGAGAAAATACCTCTTGGACCCTTTTTTCCCACGTTAGTAATCCTTTCTTGCAGCCTCGCGCGTATATTTTCCACTAAAAAGGGTGGGAGACGGCGCGTCTGTTTTTCAGAACTCGGCCCTCAGATTGTGACTGAACCGTGTCAGGCAGACATTGCCAGCAGAAAGGGGCTGGGGACGGGTGGCTGGCCTTCGCCTCTGTTGGCTGGCGATGCACTTTCGAGGTACAAAAATGTTTTTAATTGGAGGCTGGCCAACACTCGGATTTAGAGGTGCCGCTTGCAAATGTTTTAGGCACAGTTGGCAAAATGCGAGTTTGCAGCCCTGCGCGGAAAAGACAAACGTATTAGAAGAAATCTGAATGTAAATTAATGCTCTGGTCGTGCTAACATAAAAGAGAGCCAGTTTGGCCGTTATCCTGTTTATTAAATATATTTATGGAAATCCATGCTGATCGTTGCAGTGGTCTCTGCTTACTTTTAACGTGTCCGGGGGAAACACCGGCCCATTCGACGTGGCTCGGTCATCGTCCATGCCCGCCCTCGCTCCCAATACGGCGCCGTAATGCAGGTAGTCCTCTACTTACGACCATTTATTCAGCAACCCAGCCCCCAAACACACATCACATCCCAGGCACCGCATGCTCCTAATTAACAACTGCAACAGGGAGAGCCAGGAGTGTGTGGGCATTTCGTTTTAACAACCACAATGACATAGGATCATAATTCCGGGCTCCATAGACCACCTGTAGTGTCCAATTCCCTTGCAGGGTGGGATTAAGGGGATCCCTAAGCCCAGCCAATGCACCAGGGGTGTCCAACCTTGGCCACTTTTAAGACTTGTGGACTTCAACTCCCACAATTCCCCAGCCAGCAATTCTGGGAGTTGACCTGCAAGTCTTAAAGGGGCCAAGGTTGGACGTGCCTGCCTTAAATCAGGGGTCTTCAAACTTGGCCCTTTGATGACTTGTGGACTTCAACTCCCAGAATCCCTCAGCCAGGCACGCTGGCTGAGGAAATCTGGGAGTTGAAGTCCACAAGCAGAGGTCTTCAAACTTGGCCCTTTGATGACTTGTGGACCTCAACTCCCAGAATCCCTCAGCCAGGCACGCGTGCCTGGCTGAGGGATTCTGGGAGTTGAAGTCCACAAGTCATCAAAGGGCCAGGTTTGAAGACCCCTGCCTTAAATCCTGCCAAAGGATTCCCAAACTGGCATCTGTGTTTTGTTTTTGTTTTTTTTTAACTCGGCCCCTTTAAGACGAGTGGCCACCACCTCTGCTGCCTGGGGAATTCTGGGAGTTGAAGTCCGCAAGTCTTAAAGGGGCCGAGTTGCGGAGAGCCTCTTCCTGAAATTCCGAGCGGGCTCCCGGCCTGACCCGGAGGCGGCGGCGGCGGCGGTCTGCCCAAAGCCCCTTCGCTCTTGTTCTCTGCCCGGAAGGTCCGGATGCCCCCCTGAGCAAAAGGGGCGGGGGGGGGGGCAGCCCGCGTGCATCTGGGGGGCTTCCTCCCCCTCCCCGCCCCGAAGCTCCTCGGCCGAGCCGGGCGACTGTTCGGAACCGGGACCCGCGCCCGGGTGAGACCCCGGGAACCAGGGCGGCCTCGCTTCGCCCCCGCTCCGGAGCGCCTTCCGACCGGGCGCGCTGCATCCCTCCGCGGGCGCTCCCTGCGTCCGGTGGCGCCCGGACCCGCCTCGACGGGGAGGCGGCGGCGAGGAGAGGCGAGCCGAGCGGGCGGCGTCTCCCGGCCGCGATGCCCGGGCCGGCGGGGGGCTCCGCTATTG